GGTTTTGAACTGATCCCGGGCCGCGGCTCCAATCTCAATTTTTAGTCTGGACTGGCCCACTCAGGCTGGTTCTGGATCAAAATTCGACCCGGACAGATTGCAGTTGGACCCTTCCCATTAGCATGTATAAAACAGGGTAGCCACCATTTTCTTCGTCTCGTGTTCTGCCGCATTGGCAAAGCTTCCATCGAAGAATTTATCAACTTGATCAGAAAATCCTCTTCACTAGGTTCCTTTCTTTCTGTCCCTATCACTGCATTGGGGTCCTCTGGTTTTCTCAATTTGAAACCCTTTTTTGTTTTTCATTACTTGAACCCACTATTTTAGTATTGTGTAACTTGTAACCGTAGCTTGCAATCACGCTATCATAGACATGTATGTGTGAGGTGCATTTCCCGGCATGGTGCTGGTTCAATTGATCGTTTGCATTGTTGACTCTGTATAAGTGCAAACTTGTTACATTCTTATTAGAGTATGTGATCGAAAATTTGTTTTTGCAATTCGATACTAAGTTACAGAATAAGAATTTAAATGTTAAAATATCTAATAAAATTCTTTTTAATCATTATTTTATAATATTTGATATAGTTCCAATTGAAAAATACTATATTCATATATTATATAAGTACTGCCGTCATCAGTGTCTTTAGTTCAATCTTCAGTGGGTTGGCCTTTATATTTTTGGGCACCATGCGGATTTAAAAAAAAAAAAATACTTTTTTTATGATTCCGTGTCACTGTGTGTATTTAATTCGCAGGTAAACTTCTTGCATGAGGCTTTGAAAAACAGGAAAGGTCTTTAAAAAAGGACTTTTCTTGTGTTTTGCCAGTAATGGCTAAACGGATTATGAGCAGTGATGACAATATCGAAAACTTCCCAGATGAAGTACTTAGTCACATAATCTCGTTCCTTCCAGTTAAAGATGCGGTTCGGACATCTATTCTGTCCAGAAGGTGGAGGTATCTTTTCACTACCATTTCTAGCCTAGACTATGTGTTTGATCCTTATGATGGTAGGGGAGCGGCGCAGTTCATGAATAGTGTCAACAGACTATTTTTCTCCTCTGAGAAGCTGTCTATATTAAGATTTTGTCTCAGGTGCTATAAAGCTCTCGAGCCATTGTGTATTGATGGGTGGATACGGGCTCTAATGTGTCGTAATGTTCAAGTGCTTGATATGGGCATTAAGGATGTAGAGTTTGATGCTCTGCCACTGCCAACTAGTTTGTTTTCATGTAAGACACTGGTGCTTCTGAAATTGGATTTTCCCCTGCGTACTTATGATTTTAAAGTCCCTCAAAGGGTTTGTCTGCCAAGTATTAAGGTTATTCATCTTCAGGGATTTGCGTTTTCAGACAATGATTCTAGTGAAAGGCTGTTTTCTAGCTGCCCTACTCTCGAGGATTTGGTTTTGCAATCTTGTTGTTTAAGGGTTGGATGTGACAATTTCTGTGTTTCTAATTCTTCACTAAAGAGACTGACCATTAGGAATATGTTGTATCAGCTTTTGCCAACAAAAGGAGTTCAGTTGGTGATTAATGCCCCAAGTCTCTTCTACTTTGAACACACTTTTCCTGATTTTTACTCATATCAATTTTTAGATGTACAGTCTCTTACTGAAGCTGTTATTAGCCATCGTGGAGAACATGGTGATTCTATGATTCATTTAACTGAGGCAACTGATCTGTTGAATGGGTTAAAGAATGTTCGTTCCCTTCAAATATCCAGTGATATTCTAGTGGTAAGGTTATAATAGTTTCTTTTTTATTTTTTAGATATATATATTTTTTATTTTGCCTGCACAACAGTTTTTTTTTTTTCCCTCAAGTTTATGAATTCCATAAAATTCTAGTTAGTGGATTTTCTATGTAAGGTCACTCTACAGCTAACTACAGCTTTCTTTTATTTTGTAGTATCTTTGTCATCATAGAATCCTTTTCCCTGATCTCAGCAAAATGACTCACTTGAAAATTCTTCGTGGGGAGTTTGACATGGCTTACCTGATTTATATACTTCTTGTGTGTCATTCTATAGAAACACTTGTTCTTCAGGTACGAGATTATATATGTGTGTTTCCATCTATAGGCAATGCGATGTACTTCAGTCTGTTAATTCTATGTTTTATGATCAGGATGTCTCAGATAAATGTATTGATGCCTTTTTCCCACCACTTGAAAATGTGTGTATAATGCCGAAATTGAGGGAAATTGAAATTTTGTCATTCAGAGGCGAAGAAAGTCCCATGAAACTCGTCAAGTGGCTTTTGATCACAGCCTGCGCATTGGAGAAGTTGACAATTAGAATTACTTTATTGAGACAACATTCAAAGATAATGAAGGAGTTATTGATGTTACCAAGGGTCTCAAAGAAATGCTGCATTGTGATTGTCTAGGTGGTATCTTGATCTCTCTGAATTAGCTATGCTTGTTTCAACTAGAATTCATTCTCATTATGCATTCCATTTGTTGGTCGCAGCAAGTTATTTTCCAAGAATTGCTTCGGGCAATATGCCCTATTATATTGTGGTTATTTTTTCTTTCAATCAATTTGGAGGAGTGTTGCTTTGCTTGATTCAATCGGATGTTCTGTGCACCGAGAAAAAGATAAAAACATGGATGGAAGATGTTTTGGAATTGAGTTTTACAGGTCTTTAGTCCTAGTTCAATGTTTTCCTTTTTTGACTTCGCCTTTAAGGCCAAGGAAGTCAATACCGTATCGGCATGTGTACTAGTTTTGTTACTAAAACGTACTGGATATTGAAATTTTTTACATACTATTTCAAATTTATCGCTATAAATATATATTTTTATAAATTAAATATCAAATTTTAAAATAAAATAAGAAATACTAAT